GCTTTTACCATTTTTTAAAGGACTATTCCTCCCTTTGATCTGTTTAAAAAGAGACAACAGGTCCAAAATGTATCACCTGTGCTGAGACTTAGCACCTCACCCTCCTAGGAGTGGAATCTTAGCCAGTCTGGAATTTCCCTTTCAAGAGGAGTAGAGCAATCTGTACACCGACGCCACAGTTCCCCAAGGAAGGTGAGCCTAGCTGAAACATCGGTGTTGTCCCTGTCCAGCGTTCGCTCTCCCCCCTTTCTATAAAAGCCATGTGTGCCGTCTTCTGATATTCCATGCTACTTGCTCAGTGAGATGTTGCCCAATTCACAATTCATGTCAATAAAGCCAAATCTTTTCACTTTACTAGGCTGAATTATGTTTTATTTTCAAAAGATTTAACTAACAATGTAAGCTCATTCATCCCTCGGTTTTTTGGGTAGCGGGGAAAATCCCTTCACCAGCATATATCGATGCTAGTAGAGGGTGACTCTTTCCCAGTCTCAGCTTTTCCTGCAGAGACTTCGGCTACGTTTCGGGTCCCACTCCGAACTTTTCAACACCTGGGAAGTGAAACTACTGACTGCGGCCTAGTTCCGCGGGGCTCTAAAGAGCTGAGGCACTAGGAGGCTTTGGCAACATCTGCAGGATGCCAGCACTTTTGGGGGCCTATAATGAGGCGCTTGGGAGGTTGGGGTGAAGGTGGAAGTGGGTGTGTCCCAGATGTCCAGTACCCTGCTGGATTAGGTTTAACTGTGGAGAAGGGGAGACATTAGCAAACCCCTGTGGTCACAGATCTCTGGCCATCTTCTGTAACGAGCACCCATCAACAAGGCTGACTTGTAAAAAACCTCCCATCAGATAATTAAGGAATCAAAGGTGACTCCAAATTCAGGGGGGACAAGACAACATTTATCAGTTGTGCTTATTTTGTAGCACAGTAGTTAAGTCTCCGTGAAACTTACAGAGATGTTGGAAGTGTCACAGGGCAGGGAGAAGGGCGCCTCGCGGCCTCAGACGCCATCTTTGATCAGGCCACACAGACCCATGTACTGCCATCCTGGGAGTAAAACTCTACACAGAACAATTTCCACAAAGCCAAACCTCTGAGCAAGTAACTACCAACAAATCACACACAGACAGACTTTTCACAACGCCCAAACCAGTTTTTTTTTTTTTTTTAACAGCAAATCTACACACATCTGAAGCACACTAGAGAAACAAAAACCACATTTGTGCTTATGGTAGCCAATGCCATGAGGAAGTCACCTTTCCCTGTGACTAACCATGGTGGCTCTGTCTCATCTGAGTCACCAAATCTGTTACAGGGTAGGGAAAAGGGGACCCCAGAACCCCCAAACCTACCCGACTCTAAATAAGTTCTGCCATCTGCTTCATCAAAACAAAACATGTAAGACCTTTAATGGAAAGGAACTTTAATACAATTAGTGTGCAATACAGACAAGACAAAGAATATAGTTTCTAAAACTAGCATCCAAAGTCACCCATCCCCCTTGTAAGTAAAGTCCACCCAAACAGGATTGGCCCAAAGTGAGGCCTGAAAGCCCGCCACAAGTCTAAAGCATCTTTCAGCAGGGAACCATAGTAAAGGGTCAAAAACATAAGTCTAGAAGGAAAAGAGCAGAATGAAAATCAAGATAAAAGCTGCCCTAGTTAACCACAGAGACCCATGGGTCTCTCACCCACATCTGTTTCAACCAGTCCACTACCAAGAAGCAAGAGCACCTTCTTCACATGTTTCTCTTCTCCTATTACCTCCTCCAGGCTCTCCTTCTGGCTCTCCATCCTGCTTCTTTCCTTCTCCAGTCTTCTCTCCAGCTTCTTCCCCTCAACTCCACCCTCTTTTGGATGGGGCAAGGAACCTGGAACCTCCCCTTTTCCTGGGGACCACCCAGTTACAGAAGCAGTTAATATTAAAATAGCTTTGCGGCCCTCCCTGGTGGCGCAGTGGGTTAAAGCACAGCACAAAGAAGCTTAAGCCACTTCCGCATGAGTTCGATCCCCTCCTGCCCGGGAGGTGACCACATGGCGTGGCAGACCTCTCCTGACCCACCCGCTGCTCCCCTCAGCAGTGTACTTCGTCGATCTGCCTGTTCTGTTCCCCACTCTGTCTCTGGTGAAGCCTCTCACTGCCCCTGAGCCTCTGGCCTGTACCCCAGTTCTGTATGTACAAATAAATAAATCTTTAAAAAAAAAATAGCTTTGCACTCCAGTAAAGTACCACTAACTCTTTTTAATCATATAATTGCATTACCGAAAATATCAAGTTGAGATAAAAGCAATCAAAATCAACACAGCAAAACTGTGGTAATTAAGATTAACCCCCCAGCCACAAAGGATCACCTTCTCTGAAATCCAGCATTAAATCCAGTCTCCTACCAAAAAGCAATCAACAACAGATAAAGTGATACTGGGCCTCCCAGTGCAGAGGTTAAGTCTCAAGACTATGAAGCTGTCGGCAGCCACAGCAGCTGAGTTCTCCCACATATTCTTTGACCCAGCAATTTCACTTCTAAGGATACAGCCTAAAGAAATCCTCTTACAGGTATGTGCAAGAATATTTCCCACAGCATCATCTGTGATGTCAAGGGACTAGAAACAGCCTAAATATTAATAGGGGTTTGGTTAAATAAACAGTTTATTCATAGGATGGAACACAATGCAATTACTATAAATAATGCAGAGGCCCTTCCTGGTGGCACAACAGTTAGGACGCAGCACGGCAAGCCAGCCACAGCTGCTTCAGTGAGTTTGATCACCAGCCCCAGAGGTGATCCACACGGCGCAGCACACCTCTCCTGTCTTGCCCGCTGCTCCCCTCAGCAGTGTATTTTACTTGATCTGCCTGTTCTGCTCCCCACTCAGGTGAATCTTCTCATCACTCCCACACCTCTTGGCCTGTACTCCAGTTCTGTATACATAAAAAATAAATCTTAAATAAGTACATAATGCAGATCTTTGTGTATTTAAAGGAAAGTCTCAAAGATACAATGTCAAATAAAAAACTCAACTTAGAACAGTGTGTTATAATTTATGTAGCAAAAAGAAAATACACACACATATAATCTTCCAAAGAACACACCAAAAACTGGTAATGCTGTCCCTGAGCATGGCAGAAGCACAAATGAGGTGAAAGGAAAACCTCTCATGGAATATATACTGTATACTATCTGCACTTAAATAAAAAAAAATTACCATGTGCCTGTATTATTTTTTACATAAAGGTGATATGGATCTGCTCTGTTTCTCAGCCAGTACCTCAGGGATGTTCAGCTGAACTCTCTCGACAAAGTTCTGTAAAGAGTAAGCAGAGATCTGCAGCTGTCCCGCTGGCAGGTGCTTACTGCCTTAAGCTTCACTCAATACTGGTTTTGTCTCAGTGCCCAAACAGCCGCGTTGGCGATCCACCTTGGGAGACTTGGGAGTTCCACCTGAATGCAAAGAGTCAGACCCCTTCTCCTCAGGGAAGTGTTTTCCCGACTTCCTACCTCCCTTCCATATTGCTCTGCTCTCAGTACTCTTTGTTATTTGAAATGATTTATTCCCTGACAGTCCTTGAGACTATTTCTGTAAAGCTAAATACCTCCCTGAATACAAGTAGTTATAATAAATGCTGAACGTCAAATGAATAATAATTGTGTTATTCTCTTAGTATTTATAAGAACTCCAGAATAACAATTAGGATAACCCAAACTTGTAAAAAAAAAAAAATTCCCCTAAGAAAGTCTGAAAAGTTGTTAAAAAAAAGGGGGTTAAAAAAAAGTGTTTGAGGTAAGTTTTTTCTTATTAAATCCCCCTGTAGAGAGCAAAAGCACTCAAAACAACCTTTTCATTGATTTTTACAGATGTGTTCAGTGTTGCAAAATTCTCCCTAAAATTAATCATAAGGTTTAGAGGAATGTTTTTCAACGGTCTGGTAATTCTTGCCTTTTCCCTCCCTTCCCTGTATCAATAAAGTCAAAGACAGCATTGTGAATGGGAACTTTCAGTGGCAACCAGAGACGTGTTTGCAAGGAAACCATTGAAAACACAAAGGTGAAAAGGAAACATTTAAACTTGGCTAGCAACGCCATTTCTTTTCCCTCTGGTCCCTCTATATTTGATGTCAGTGAAATGCTGGTGACAATGTGGCAATTTCCAGCTACACAGATCAAGGCTTAAAAAGGGAACCCTAGAGTATAACAAGGAGTTGGGATTTACAATTCTAGTTGTTTTGAAGAAAACATAAAGGTTCCCAGATTTGATTAAAATTTCCATTTCCCGAAAGGTCTGCTTTTAGGCTAAAGTACTTGATATTGCTAGGAACCATCGCATTGCTATTAATCAAAAGTCTCTGTTGTATGAGATGTTCTTGACGGTGAGTGAACGCATGCCCCTGGCAGATGCGGAATCAACAAAATTCTTTAAAATACTCAAGTAGTCCAGACACAGCCAACCGCTTATAGGACGCTGCATGCTTCAATTAAGAAAATGGCTAACCACTTTTTGAAAAATGGGATTATTACTGCCTGTTCTTCCTATCCAAGTCAGCGAAGAGGCACCATTTTCAGAGTCTTTCGACAGAGGACATTCATCTAATTAGTTCTAACTCAATCTGCCCCCACTGGGAGTGAGAGAAGAGAAAGAACTTAGAAAATCATGTGAATTTCTGGGTTATTCCTGAGGACATAAAGTTTGGAATTAATTTTTAAATTATTTGGGTAAATGTATCCTATTTTTCACTTCTAGAAATGAATGTGACATAAGACAATAAAAAAGGCAGGTTGAAGAAGACTGATTACGTCTACTTCCTAAGGGTAGAAGTGTACTTTTAGAGCTGAACTTAACGACACATACCTGAAACTTAATTCTACGTTACTTCAATAACAAAATTAAAATTTTTAGAGATCCTAAACTCTGGTCCTGCCTATCTACCTGGGGACTAGAATGCCTTCAAGCAAAAGGAATGCAGACAAGCCCAGTTCATCAAGTACAAACAGTGCTGCTATTGTACATGTGCTTAATGCACACCGGGGTGTCTGGGCGGCCTGCGGCCAGCCTGCCTGCCCCTTTCTCTGGCGCAGTGGCCACTAAAGCATCAACACAGAGCTTTACTTGCTTTACTCCCACTAATGTAACAGTAACCTCAAAACTGGAGACGTTTCGCTCAGTCTACCAGAGACCCAATTTCAATTCAGTGTCAACTCAGTTTACTGCTTCTCACCAGACCTGGACTTTTGAGAATCTATTTAACATTGGGGGGGGGGGACCTTGACATCAAGACCATCTAAAGATAAAGAAGGAAAAATATTAGCTCCAAGAGGAGAGCGGGAGTAGGACAGTACCGCTGATAATGAAACTGGCTGCTTGGGTGTCAAAAGTGATAACACGACAGAAATGTGGTCAGGCTGCCAAGAACTGCTCTTTTAGACAAAAATATCACTCATCAACCAGAGAATTCAGTACTGGAAAGGCCTGCCACCTGCTGAGGAGAGCTCTTCACTTTCTCTGCTCAGTGCTCCAAGCTTAACCAGAACCCAAACTTTCTTAACTACTAACATCTCAGGGTCACTCAAGTCTTATTTCCAGTGCCCACAGCTTGGTCTTTGTCCCCCCAACTCTCAGTGTGAGATTCCTCAAATTTCCTTCTAATAGTCCACAGCAGTGTGTCTCCCTGTCAGGGACCAAGCTGGCCCCCTGGCCTGTCACATCTCTCACTGGGACACAACTCCAAGTTCCATAAACAATTTCAAAAATACCTTTACATTAAATAAGAAAGTTACTGCTTGTCTCGGAGGAAATGTTTCCCCTCATACTTTCTTAAACACCTTTTGTATGCCAGATGTGAACAATGATTACTATTAGATTACATTAAATTCACTTATTCCAGGAACAGGTATGGCCCTGGGGTGACAGCTGGCCTTAACAATTTAAAGTGCCTATTTCTTGGAGTTTCTTTCCCTAAAGCAAAAAGAGAGACAGGGTACAATAACCATAAGCTTCTCCAGCCTCATACACACTTCCTTTTGCTCTCTGGAACCAGTCATATTTTTAATAATTAACTTGTAGCCTTCTCCTTTCGTTAAGTAAGAGACACTCGACAACCACCTAAGCACAACCACCTAAGCACTTGACAATTAGTGACAAATGGGACAAACAAAAATAACCCAAACAACCTATCAACCTATCAGCAATTGGCAGAGACAGAGGATAAATTAAGTTAGGCCTATTTATGTTTTTAGTGGAAACTGGTGTTTAAACTAAAAAAAAATTAGGTTACTCTGACTTCAAATTAAAAGTAGAAAAGGGATTAGAAAATCCAGTTTTATCATTTCTTGCTATTTATGGTCTATATTTTATTAAAATATAATTCATAGGGCCCTCCCTATTACTATTATATATTATATAAAGTAAAATTCATAGGGCATAATGGATTAGGCCGCAGCACTGCAAGCTGGCCGCAGCCACTTCAGTGTGAGCTCGATCCTGGGCCCCAGGAGCTGACCCACATGGCACCGCAGACCTCTCCTGTCTCACCTGCTGCTCCCCTCAGCAGTGTACTTCGTCCATCTGCCTGTTCTGTCTCTCTCTGGTGAATCCTCTCATTGCCCCCACACCTGTACCCCAGCTCTGTATACATAAACAATAACTTTAAAAATAATAAATAAGATTCATAGTACACGTGTTGCTTTATTTTACCCACATTATTCCTGATTATACCTGAAGGACTCTTCTGTGTGTCTACAGGGGCCAGTAAGTGTTACTTGTTTGGTATATGTTTATTAAATCATGGGAAGAATAAATGGCATTTGATGAGTGAGAGGGGGTTCTATATATTCCAATTCCTTACATTCTGTTACTAAAATGTTATTCAAAAAGCAGATTATAAGCATGACAACATGACATACTATGACAAATATGACAACCACCTCGTATACTCAACTCCTAAAAGATGTCATTTTCCTTATTCAAGCACAAGAAGGCTTCAGAGACACTAAAACAGTAAACTATGTTCCTTGTAAATTCAAGATTTCTCATTTTGAGATTATTTTCTATAGTGCTATCTACACAGCTGCTTACTTGGGAGGACTGGAGACAAAACAATCTTCCCTTAGTACAGAAAGAACCTGAGCAGGACATTTACCCTCCCAGAAAGAACTAAGTCTGTCAGCAGCCATTTATAGATGTGTCAGAGGGTAGGGAGTAAAAACTTTTTTCCACCCACCCAAGCAGAAAAGATGCTACTTTGTGGATACAAATTTCTAACCTTGGATTCATTGAGTCCAAAGCCAGTCAAAGATGCTTAGCAGCTCTGTAGAGTGAAACAAAGGCCTCCTGCTGATTTCCTAACATTAGAGCATGGTGACATTTCCATCAACCTTACCCATTCATTAACAAAAAGTGCTGTCGGGCTGCCCAGAAATTCCCCTCCAGAGTCCCAGTTATTCCGGAAACAAGACAAACCAAGTATGCTGCAATCATGCCCTTTCTGGTATTGGGTTCAAAATAAACTGCACCAGCCAAGACTGTAAATGTTATTCAGTGAAAAACTAAGCAGCCTAAAAAGTTCTTAGGTTTCATTTACCAACAGAGTTATCACAGACACCTCGGTGAGTTTCCAACCTGGTGAGTTTCCAAGCTTATTTAATGACTTCCCACCTCCAAAAAAAACACACAAGGCCGAATGTATCTAGGCACTTGTAGTTATAACACATCCCCAAAGTTAATGACCTGGCAGGAAATAGTGACCCAAGGGCTCATTGTAACTGGCTCCCAGGACTCTGAGTAAAGTTAATGAGGCCAGAATTCTTTAGCTTGGAATCTTTAAGAGGATAGAAAGCAAATGCAGGTAGTAGCAACAAAAACTCCTGTATGCCCGTTGTTTTAAGACTTCATATATTAACTCATTTACTACTCCTGTCTTTTAGTATGTGGAACCAAAAGCGCAAAGAAGCTAAGCAAGGAATTCAACAGCAGACACAGACAAGTATTTGGCTTCGGATTCCTCAGACGTCAAGGTAAGCATACCCTCCCCTGTTCTCAACCACACTCACTAAAAGTATGGCCAGCAAAGTTCCTGGAAGCCTATCATCACACGTCAAACTCTTTTTACTTCACAATCCTCCTCTGAAAGCAGTGGACAGCAGAGCACATCATTTCAGACACGAAAAACTCAGCCCTGGTTCATCAACTTCTCCCCTAAGGATGCTCTTTGAAACAGCATACTATATTATGAACATAATACATTTTGTTGCGAAAAACACAAGTGAAAAAGGAATCCAAAGCCGGAAATTAAAAAGAAAAAAGAAAGGGACAACTTTAAAAGTAGGACCTATGAAACGGCACTGATGGGGAGCATGCACCCCCCTTCCCGTCATGTGCAATAATGCTCCCCACCCCCTCCACACGCCCCCCATCCCTGCACAGGAAAACCTTCTCCTG